AGCTATTCTTCACTCAAAACCTTGCAAGAGTTCTTCATCGTGACATTGATAATAAAGGGTGCAGTACCAATATTTCAGTTTAGAGCTTTCTTCTGTAGATGATCTTTGAGTGGTGAATTTGTGGCATTGGCAAAAGTAACAGATATTTCAGAAATGGTTGTATTGTAACTGTTTTGTTTCAGTCATAGTCATGATGATGTTGAATGACTTTCAATATATGTGAGTTATACATCTTATTAAGCCTTTGTACAGTTTCATCATGTCAATGTTTGTTCTTGAGTATATCAGCGATAATGTTCTTTAGCGATGTTTATAATTACTTGATCTCACTCTGGCAATTTTTATTATAGATCGCACTTCAGTATCTTTTATTATTTCACAAAAGTTTAAATCAGAATAACGTTTCTCACTTTGAGCAGTGATATTTCTGTTTTGTTGTATTCTGAGGATCACCAATGTCAATTTTTTATTTGTGACTGGAAGATGAGATATCGTATTGGTGGGCTGATTGTGATTGTACAGGGCATGCACATGCCGTAGTTTGAGCAGAATCATCAGGAATAGGTATTGCATCAGAGTCACAAATGGGGTCTTCGCCATTTTGAATGACAGGTTCACGTATTGGCCGTGGGTCGCCATCTTAGCTAGTTAGTTTACATTTTGGTTGTCTATAATTGTTGATTCTACAGCCACGGTTAACTAACAGTGACTTATCATTTTTTATCCTGGAAAAAACTGTCATACCTGTTTGTTATTTACAAGTTACGATTTAGGTAGGTGTTGTCCTGTAGTTGATTTCTGAACAAATTGCATTCCAGTATTCATATCAATGCGTTCATCATCTTTTCCTCAACAATGATAATCAGATGAACGTCATAAGTCGTAACGTCGTAACGTCTGCTTTATCTTAGTTATTTCGGATTCATAGATGAAGTTTTCATCTTTTGTAGAATGAATAACGCGATATTCAGTCTGGTCAGATAAATTTCTTTTGTCTTTGTTCATAGACGCCATCTTGAATATTGAATGACTTGACATGTGATTGCATCACTACATATGCTTCATAGAGCGATATATATATATATATATAGTGTTTTAGGACCTATAATCAACATAGAACCGACATGCAAGCTGTGTTGTCATGTTTAGAGCACTATCAATTATTAGTTATTTGGGGGGAGCGTGAATGATACATGCTTGCAATACATTACAAAACTGTCTCAATTCGTTAATGTTTACTATTTTAAGCAAGAATAAAATCCTGTATTCAGACACAGTTCTTAAAACTGTTCAATATTTTGTGCATGTTTACTTACTTCAACACGGCTGGCACCGTGTATTGATAAGTATTCAGTACAAAGCACAACACGGAAATCTGCACGTACACTCGAATAGCATGCGCTATGTGAACATATGGTATATTTTGTAACACTGCTGTTACAGCTCGCAGTTAGTTACCATTTTGAGCAACAGAATCGCAAAATATATATCAGAACATCAAAAAAAAAACTGAAAATATGTTGGAGAGTAAACAGTTGTATTTATTTGTTGAATACTTATGTTTGCACTGAACATGATTATTCTTATATTGGTTCGATACATACGATGGTATAATTATTTAAATTAGTATCCATACATGGTATGTAATTGTCATAATCCTATGTTGTTATTATACGACTAATAAGTCATAAGACCGACACCAGCTGTCTTCATATGTCACTACAGACTACAGGAGGCAAGTAACTGATTTTTTGTTTGTTTATAATTGCCTTTTTATTATGTATTTTATGTCGAACACATAAAACTATTGTTTATTTTCATCACTGCGTGTAGTATATAATATAACGTGTATATCGATAGCTATAGCAGAGGATATGGGAGAGCAGCAAATCAAAAACAGTTTATAATATTCAGAAGTCGCGGCACGAAATTTTGCAGGGGGCGGGATCTGCTGACACAAAAGCTCTCGCGCCAAAGGCGCGAGTGGTCGCACACTGTCGCCCCTCCCCGGTGTCGCCGCTACTGCTATTTTACTCACAAATTTACAGCGGACGCAAAATATTTACTTACACCTAACTCCCGCACCTGGTAGGCAACTACCGAGAGACTTTGCAACATCCCCAAACACTTACCTAGATGACCCAGTGACCGTTGTAGACGTAAATTTATCCAAAAAATCATGTTTGTTTTTTGATATCAACACATTATTGTTTTATGCATACATATTTTGAACGTTTCTGTAAAATAATAAACCTAGTTCATACACATATTTAAAAACGCCCCTAAACATATAATGAAATTGCCCTCGTGAGAACAGTTTAGTTTTGAATAGAATTTCTGATTTTGAACAATTATTGCTATTATTGCGTGTAGACGAAGACACTCGACTCCTGTTATTCGCCTCCTGTTGACGTAGGCTGGGATTGTCACATAATGTATATTTTTTCCGCGGGCTGGGGGGGGGGGGGTAAGAAAGCTGCTAAGTCCTTCGGTACTTGCCTACCGGATGCGGGAGTTAGGTGTATGTAAATATCTTGCGACCGCTGTTAAGAGATTGAGAGGAACAGCCGAATGAACTAAATTATTTTTTTATTTAGCTACAATAAAAGAGTTAATGCATTAAAATTACTTTCAACGCATATTCCCCATAATGTAATAAAATTTGCCATAAATTATGCCAGGCACCAGGACTATTAACTTTCAAAATCTGCCAGTCCTGCCAGAAAATATTTCCTCGTGTTTTCACACTCATTACAAAATAAAATGCAGATCACCTTGTCAATGTTAAAACTGGACAATTTACTTGTTGTTGATTTTCTCTGTGCGAAACGGCAGTAGACATCTCAGCAGTAAACTTCCTGATTGCCCGCGCAGTCTAGCATTCGTAATTAAAAACACTATATCAACGATGCTCGTTTATAAAATCTTAGTCGTATCGTATACATCGTAAGCTACCTTTCTTCCATTGCTGTCTTCGGTTAAGGCTCTTTCCTAAGAATTAACTTAAAGGGCGGCAGTCGTCGTGCCGCGTTCTGTTCGATATGAGAATCATAGCGACGTATACAACGCGTGTAAAATACATTGTTTATTTAGATGAAATTCGAACACGCGCTGCGCGACGACCACCGCGCTTTAACATATCGCTGTCTCGCACAGCTAACTACACATAGTTCATTTTTTTTCTTTCTAAGATGTCACTTGATCATGTACGTATGTGCTTTGAGACTTGAACAAGAGCGTCCCCATAACGAGGCTCCACTGTAATTGGTGCTTCCGGAAATTTTGTTGTTGTTGATGGCTATTCAGCAGCATGAACACTGCCTATTCATCTAAGCCCAAATCTATAATAAAAAAAATACAAGTTTATTTTAGTCGCGTTGAAAATAGAGTAAAGTACAAAAGACAACCAAATTAGTAAAATTTGAAACAGCTCTGACAAAGTGACAGGAGAGGAGAAACGGCTATATTACTCGACGTGATCCACCATCACTGTACGAAGATTGAATATGGTTGATCATAACAGGTTTCTGTTACAGTGACATGAAAACATTCTACAACTGTATCAATGTAAAAACATTAACATTTTTCATTCATGGGACAAGTGTAAACCAATAAATTCTCGTTTCATGTGTTAAAACTGCTATAATCACAGGTACATATAACAAATGCGGCTGTTTTAATGGGAGAGGATGAGCAACAATCTATTCATAGTCAAATTATTGTAAACAAATCTTATTTTTTTTACTAAAAGCTAGTTGTACTTAGAATTTAGTAATAATATTATTTAATATTTTTATTTAATTTGTCATAATATAATATTTGTTGATGCCTTTAAAAAAACTAATTATGTAAATGACGCTTGCAGATATATATCATAAATACATATCAGCTGTTTATTATATATGAAAAACAACATTAGACCATGACAATTACAAATGTATAATCAGATTTGAAAATGATCAGCTTTTGATAAAACAAGGTATGTTTTTCTTCATCTAGAATAATACCAGATGGCGCCAGTTTTAATATTTTAATTTTCTCCTTCTGTCCTAGACTTTAATATGATTTATTATTGTCTCTTGGTGTTGGGTGATATATGATGTTCATAGTAATATCAGTATATATCTTGAAAATACTGAAATATGATTTGTTTTGTCAATAATTCATTTGCATTATAATAATAACACGTGCTTAGGACGTCTGGTCATTCTTAACTAAATAGAATAAAATATAATAGAATACTTGACTCGAAATAATGTAAGAAATTACATAATTTATGGCCAAAAACGAACAAAGTAACATACACTGGCACATACAACAATAATAAATAAAACACAACAAAACACATTTAATAATTAGCATACATTTCTAAGACATTATGAATAATAAATCCTAGACTGTTGGCAATGAAACTATCTTTTGCTCTTAACAGTTTCTTAAACATGATCTGCTTAGACAAACTCTCAAATCGTGCATTGAGATTGGCACCTAGCAGTTTCCATATTTTTCAATTGAATTTACAATATCTTAATAAAAACCACTAATGTACGTTTTGACACACCCAGACCAATTATTTACACAATAGTCTAGGTAGTAAAAAACACGGACTCAAAATTGAGGATATGCGAAAATGGAAAAGATTGTTTTGAAGCATACTTTACATTTCTGTACAAGGGGTATTAAACTAAAACAAAATGGCCTATTTTCAGGGTTGGTCGCTCGCCTACATACAATGCCAGACATTATTTTAATTGCAATTTTCATAGGTATAGTGATATAAATTTTATTTGCGTAATTTAGGCTAGTCTAATCTCCAATTTTTAATATAATTGCATCATCTGAAGGTTTTCATAAGTGCACGAATAAAAACACTGACATTATTGCTAGCTCATATGAAGAAGGCGGTTGCGACTTTTCACAGGGTCCAGTCAAATATGAAACGAATGAATTTGCGTCACGCATAACTAAATAATATAACACATGTGTTTATTTTTAGTTCAAGAATGTGGAAGCACATTATTTTCTATAGCAGTGTATGCACCTTTGTAAGCCGTGCCATACCACTTGGTAGTTGGGACAAGGTAAGAATTGGATCATTTTAAAATAATACAGGGACCATGATTGTGACTCGTTGACAATCGTTTTACAACATGTATTTGTTTCGTATGTCTTGAGAATGTATAAACAGCTTAGCATAAAACCATGACGAATTATTGGGTGTTTTATGCTTTCCTCATGTACATGTTTAGGTCCATCAAACTCATACCACATTTCATCTATGCCAATTTTAACATGTGGTCAAAATAAATCTACATCCGACATGGTTAATCTATATGCTTATTTTGAAAACGAGTACTTTTTATTACGTGTGAAGGGAAAAAGATCAGAAGTTGTGATATTATCATTTTATGACAGTGAAAAGGATATATTGAGACAGTAAGCAAAAAGTTTGATTAATTATGGTACCTAGATTGACTTGATTTATTTATTTTGTATTCACATAGAAGCTCTGCGGGTATTGTCCTTGCTTAACCTCAAAGCATAGAATATGTGCATTTTGCATGTTTGCAAAAATATATCACTTATTTCTGTTCACGCATTCCCAAACTCCCACTGCAGTTCATTAATTAAAACATGGAGAGTCGCTTAACCAACTTTACATCACCAGAAAACACACAGGCAGCACCCACATTGTATATATATATTTGTGGTTGAAGCCGAAAACTACTGAAATTTCCAGGCACGCTCAAAATGCACACAGACTGAGACAGTAACCTTATTTTTGGGAGTGGCAGCATGGGGGATTTTAGTGGTTTAAAGGCTTTGTTCAAGGAGTGAACAACATTTATGGTTGGGCAATGAGTTCACCCAGCAGACAGCCAAGAATCCTATATCTGTGAGGTGAACCTTGAATATCTAGAAGAGTTGCATAATGTGCACAATATTGTCACAATCACACTAGAGTGCATAGTGGCTCAGAAAAAGTGAACTACCTCTTAAATGAGGGAAAGTAGAAAAGCTGGTCCCAAGGTTCATCAACAGTATTTGTTCACTCAAAAAATCTACATCTCATCAAATCATGTATTTTGGTATGCGCCTAAAACAAATTCATAAGTGTCCCTGCATTGAGCCAGCTCAGGTCAGTAGCCCTCAAACAGCCACCCTCCAGATTGCCCTCTCATTGAAATAGCAAAGCCTAAAAGCTGAGGGCAGTGTTTCCCTGCCAAACCAAGCCAGCGACCAAAATCAGTAAAGAAAGGATTTGGTTCTACAGACATCAGGTCACTTCTCAATTCGGGACCATAATGACAGCAAGCAGTCGAGCCACACATTCAAACGACTGTGCCAATGGCTAAAGTCGAATTTCGCGTGTGTATTGATGCCCAGACAACTTGGCAAATATGCCATGCCTGGCCGGTAGCTTGTTCATGTCACCCATGACATCATGCCCCAGGTCATCCTAGAGATGCTTTGGCCAGCTAAGATGATCACCATAGACCTATCGAGTTTCTTTCATATTCATAAATATGAAGCCATATTTATCACTCTAATAGCATTTATCAATGTATGGCAGCTGTGGGGCAAACAATCATGTGACAGAAAATGGAGGTCAGCTTCGTGGAATGGTTTGGTATTCTCACAACAGATTTTGGATCTTGAATTCATCTTGAGGCAGGTAAATATATCTGCTTCTCGAGCCATGTTCTAGCCACATCTTCCGAAATGTTGGCCTACTGCAGCAAGATTCACGGTGGCTGCAATGCACTTCAAATAGTCACTAGGATGTAATAAGAACTTGTAAAAGACAACCATGGCTGCATCACAGGTATAAAATCAAGCTTTTGGAAGTTTGATGCATGCCTTCCTTAGTCTTCTAGTTCCTCCTGCTTAGTCTTTCTGCAGTCCCAGCTTTCCTTATAGCCACGTGTTGGGGATCATTTCGGTCATCAAAGATGGAGGGGTGGAACTTGTTGGTTGTCAGCCAGTGTCATTGTCGCTCTCTGAATCTATCATACACTCATACAATCCACACAAAATTATAATATATATAATTATTTTAGGTGAAAGTAAGACTGGTATGTCTGGTGTCATATCGTCAACACAAACAGGAAACTCTCAGGCAATCAAAAGGGCCAAGATGTTTTGCTCTGCGTATCTGCCCAAGAAGGCCAGCTTGGATAGTATGCCATTTTGTTGTGAGTTCATATGTTGTGTGTGGAATATTCATCAATGAATGACAATGTGGGTTTGTCTTGAAAAAGTTCTTGGAGTTGATAATGTGTGATCAGTAATGAACCATCACGCAAATAGCCCACTGTGACGAAGCATGCCAAAGTATGGGCTCTCTAGCAGGTTCTGGATTTGTTTACAGCCAGTTTGCCCATCGATGATGAGGATCAATTGGGTATAATTTTCATCAATGGAGGTATCTACCATCCTCAATGTAAAGCTAGACATCTATTACATAGAGTTAGATGTTTAAAATGCCTTCTGCTGCTTTTGTGATGTGGATTTTTACACCCTCTAGCATTTTCTTCATGCCTGCCACTGCCATACAGCTGATAATCTTAGATGTTCTTTTAGAATGAGCCACAGTGCATACATACTAGTGAGATGTTCGTCCAAAGATACACCTGCCAACTACATTTCTTTTGCGAATATTGTCACCTCAGTGTGTTTCTTACTAGCTGGGGTAGCTGTAAATAACTTCTTTGCCTCATTCTATCACTGGTAAGTATGCATCCACTGACCTGGACGGGGAAACACTTGATTGTAATATCCAGCTCTTTGGATTCCCTGTCAAAACTGTCAGTGGGGTTCTATAAGAGAATCAGATATCTTTCATGCTGTTGGTTGGGGAATTTTAGGGTAATTCGTTACTCTTGTTGTTGTTGATGTTGTTCAGTCATAGAATATTGGGTAACAGCTTACATACTGTTTGCATATCTTACAGGCCAGATAAGCTTGGGTGTAGTGCTCAAGACTGATGTTGTCAATGTTGTAGCTAGCAGCATCATCATATGTTGCCTTCATCACATGGCTGTAGTCATCGAAAGTCAGCTCATACTTCATACCCTCAGTCCACTCTGGTAGAAGGGCATTGTTGGAAGCAGTTTTCATAAGCATTAGATATGATAGTATATTGGGTCTTACCATTGTTGGCATGCTTGCACCAATGAGCTTGGTAGTGTTTCTATCTGTGATAGTGGCAATGCCTTGGGTAGTTTTTCAGAGGTTGGTGTACCAGTGGTAGGCAGCAGGGTCGCAATAGACAATACCACATTCCCACTGATCTTTACAATGGCTTACGCTAGCTTTTGTACCACAGTGTGATTTTAATAAGTTCATGTCTGGCAGAGAAAATCAAATCGTTGCTAGTTCTGATCAGTTAGGCCTGGGTTATTGTTGAGGGTTAAGCTCGTGGCCAAAGTATTTGAACATTGGATGATTAAACAAAACACACTAAAATGAGAGACTTCAGCTTTGATGTCGTCAATGCTAGAGCAGACTTTATGGTTAAACAGACAGTAGCATGGCTTGCCATAATGCTTGCCAGAATGCAAAGACAGAGCCGATTAGGCTAAACAGCTGAAACAAGACATCAGGGCTGCCACACATAGTGCCTCAGATGCTCATTTGCACACACGTCTGGTATATCATATCATAGTTGACATGCTACTAGCTGCTCTGTCTCAATCTGTGTCAGTGCCAAGTATGTATGTCCTCGTCTGCAGCATGTCCTAGTCAGGGCCCAGACATAAGTTTAAATGTTGTCTTACAGACGTTCAACTCTCGACTGTGTGAACCTCTCTGTGTGTTCAAACTTAAAATTACCACCCTTTTGAAGTGTTAAACTACAAATAATGTGGACACATTTCTTCATACTCCAACATTCTGTTGATCATGTTTTAACTTGGGATCTGAACATTATTCCACATGATACTCTTACCTCTATATATCAAATGGAGTCACAATTTTAAAACTAATTAAGAACTTAATTTAAAAATATGCCAGACAATTGTTTAACCGTTACTTTGTGGTAATGTACAAAGTTAAATTCATAAACTTGAGACAATAAACAAAGTGGAGGCAAATTATAAAAATTACAAATTTACTGACAAGAGATGTTGTTGTCGCATGATCAAGTTTTTTTGTATATAAAATTGGTCAATATTGATTCATTGAAATGTTTTTTTCCCTTTATCATTATAAATTTACTTTCTTCATTTAATCTTTTACTTTGATCGCAGTAAAAATGGTATTTTATTTCATTCTTAGAATAAATATTGCAGATTCTTATTTCTGAGGGCAATTTCAATTTTGAGGTCGAACTGAACCGATAGATTGACTGTTGTAGATATTTGTTACCATTGTTAATTATCTGTGTATTTTCAGTTTTTCCTCGGGCTTAATATTTTTGGTATTATCTGAATTTATTTCTTTGTTCCAATGAATGATGACAATTCTTTCTACTTTTTCTGTTAATTATCTTTATTTAATTTATGAATAAGAAAACGACCTCATGCAAATGAGAATTTTCAAAGCTGTCTTTTCACTGCTAATCCCCGTTGATCGAAAAAAAAGCCTGAAAAAAAACAATGAAAACTTGTTGATGAGTTTGGTCTCTCATCAAAAGGATTGGCGGTTTAGAATGGCGAGTCACCGCCATGTTGAATAAGACCATTACCTTGACACAATTAGGTGTACTACGATTTATTAACAAGAGATATTAAATGCATGTGATTCTTGCGTTTGCACATTGTTTTGAATAAAACAATATCACATGCAAATCGATTGTCTCAACATATCGTCTATATCTTCTATTATATTGTTCTCTGAATTGTAGGATGAACAACCAGCGGAACTGCAAGGTGAAGGTACTTTTGAAGGTGATATGAAGTTAACGCCAGAGCAACTTACTGCAATTCAGGAACAGATAGAAGAACAACAAAACAGAATAGCGGCAAGAAAAGCCTATGCTAGTCTGTCTACACGTTGGGAAGATGCCATTGTGCCTTATAGAATCGAGCCTGAAAGTAGGTGTATTGTACTAGTTTCCTTTATGTGACTTATATTGTATCTTTCCTCTCACGGACGTCAGTGTATTGTCGCTATTAATTCATTCCCTATATTACAGGCCAGGGTGACACTGCTGTAATACTATCAGCAATTGCCCACTGGGAGAGCAAAACCTGTATTAGATTCCCACAATACGATCCCGCTAAACACACGTCATTCATAAGCTTCACAAAACAGGATGGGTAAAGTATAATTCAAGTTTTCTTTTGTGACAAATTTGTACAAGAAAATTACATATACAATTACATATTCTTAATCATTCAATGATACAATATCCATTAGAATGTTTTATTAGATATTATACTGTATATAATTGCTACTGTGTTTCAGACACATACCTTATACTCGTCTGCTGTTGAAACACCACCATGCATGTGTAGGAAGTATTAAGTAGAACGTGTATGTTTACATAATCTTAATCACGCTGCTTTTTAATGAAACAAATATATATATTTAACTTATTCATGCGTTAGTCATTCACTATATGCATTATTGTAGTCAGTTATGTGTTTCTGTCCAAGGGATATTCCGTCTGATTACTAATGTACACTGAAGACTCGTTCAGCTGTCCACACCGCGAATGAACGCCGACCCACAAGTTATATTTTTGTATACATATATATAAATATATTGTTATATTTTTCTGCAATAATTAATGTGTTGCTTAATGTGATAGATGTTGGTCATATGTTGGTCATGTGTTCACTGGAGCGCAGGAAATTTCTATTGGGAATGGATGTGCATACGTAAGTAATTGGCCCATGTATGTTGTTAGCACCGTGTTGATGTCAACCTATTTGATACACAGAATAAATCTAATATAAATTATTTTAACTTCATTTGTGATCTTTACCCAGTTACACTTAACAAATGTATATTATTGCAATTATTCAATGATTCATTGTATACTACATGCCCTTTAGGAATGTGGACATCCTTCTAAACAGCAAAATTCACAATCTCACCCATGATAACCACAAAGACAAAGATGACAATTTTAGTTTAATAACAAACATTAATATATTATGTTACAAAGTGCCGTATTATGCACATTCATAATCTGCTGATGCTAATCCAACAATCCACCATACAGCAAGAAAGTCACGTGATCAAATATATTTTAATAATATTTTGTTATTTTAGATGGGCATTGTTGCGCATGAGATTGGTCATGCAATAGGGTTCTTTCACGAACAAAGTCGCCCGGACAGAGATAATTATGTTATCATAAACGAGGATAATATTAAGGACGGATATGAGATTAATTTTAAAAAATATGACACAGGAACTATTAACACGCACCAAGTACCATACGACGTTGGATCTTTAATGCATTATGGCGCGAAAGTGAGTAAATACCAATTTGCATAGGATAACCTTATCAAACATAAGACGACCACATAGCCATGACATATGGCTGTCTTGACCCAATCAATGTTTCAGTTTTTCAGCAAGAATGGCCTAAATACAATAGATGCAGTTAATCCAGCGGATCAATCAAAAATGGGCCAACGTGATGGTCTCAGCGCCGCTGATATTCTGTTAGCTAATATAATGTACAGCTGCTCAGGTGGTAATTATGTGTCTTTCTTTCTAACACTACAACTTTTGTTTTTGTGCAAGTTTGTTAATCATTGATGCTCGGCATAGACATTGCTTCACAGTTCATTAACACGGTACCTAGATGACTCAACCGAATTACATACTTTTGTGTGTAGTAATGGTAAAACATTAACCTATAAAGTTCTTGCAATTATCTTGTTGGCTATCATGGTAAACAGGTCATGCCTACAGAAATAAATTACTGCAACTAGAGACATGTAGATGGCCGTGAGTTGAACACGATCAACACAATGATATCAAGACATTGTTACACACTACCAATTGATCGTGAATGTGTCAAAACTTAATTAGTGTTTTTATTAATCTTTGAAATTTTCGTCGAATTAAGATGTTGCATAGAATACAGATGTTCAACCTATTATTTGTAGTATTGTGTTCTGAACAGTAATGTTTGCCCAACACATTCTGCTATGCCAACAAAATGCACCGTTTTGCAAATAAAGAAAAACAATTAATTGATAATTAAAAGAAATATTCACATAAATGAATTGCACCATTTTCATCATTCTCTGTGTAGTATCAGGTGATCCCCACATGAAAACATTTGATGGACGTCCATATACTTTCCAAGGTGTATGCTGGTATACTCTATTTAAAGACTGTTTCTCTCATAAACCTGATTTTGAAATCACCGTCAAGTTTGAGCCAAGGGGTGACAGCACCACCGATCATTTCAGAACAAGAGCAGTTGCCTTCAACGTTTCGGTCGGGATGGAGTATGCTAATGTTAATGGACTGGACGTGATAACAGTAAGTTATAGTAACGTGTCATTGTATCGTTTAGATCAATTGCATATTATTATTATTATTATATATTAAGCATTATATTCTAACATACATTGTATTATCGCAGGGGAATACAGGGCACGACACCGCCGCTAGATCAATCCGTGTTCAAAATGAACAGAACGTGGTTATATTAGAATTTACATCCAATAATACAACATTTACCTTGGAATGGGCTCTGAGGAAACACGCCTTAAAAGTAAATGTACAGGGTGCTACATACAATGGACGACTATGTGGTTTGATGGGTAACTCCGATGGTGACACACGTAATGACTTTCAGACACCTGATGGTAATGTTGTACTTGACGCTGCTGAGTTCGGAGAAAGCTGGGACGTAAAAGGCCAAACGTTAGTTCATTTTAAATCGAGCCGAATTGTTTGATGAATAAATTAATGCAGATATCGGACATATTTATTTTTTTAACACTGGCTAATGCATAGCTTTTTTAATAAATAGTGTACTATTTTTTCAATGCATTTTTCAGATGTGACTAAAATTATGGTTTTCTCAAGCCAGAAGATCTAGACATGATTATAGATGAGCTCTAGAAGAAATAAATAATAAACATGTTATTAATATCCTGGAAATTTGGTGGACGGGTGCCTTTATTGGTGGTGAAATTTGACTATTCCAATCAGATATTGCATAAATACACGTTTGTGAAATTAACGGTATACATTAAGAATTATAGAAATCTCAACCAAATGTATATGTTTTTTTTTGTTCTCACATCACCTCCAAATAAACTATTAAACAGAGAAAACAAACTAGACGTAGATACATACAGTGATTCAAAAATACTAGCACCTATACAAACGTATGATCATGAAACATGACATTGGAATTCTCAACTACGACAAATAGCTGCACTATTTTGCATCACAAAGCGTACTTATCATACACTGAATATACGAGCGACACGAAAATATCAATATATAATACATAAATATATATATATATAAAGATCGTGTTATTTTTTGGTCAAAATTTGATATGGTTTTTAATCATTTCATTTATGTATATTCAGTATTGAACAACAAGGGAGAACGTCAAGCTGTTAATTGCCCCCCCCCCCTCCATGTGACAGGACAAGTTTTATGAGCAACTGTTCAAAGCTCATGTTCTATGTATTTTCGCACTATACAAAAACAACTAACCAATACGTTCAAAATTGGCATATATATTCCCAAGACCTTATTGCTTTTTTGGGTCAAATGTCTAGTCAGACTAGATTCAAAATAAATGACTGCGGGTAGACCAATGACAAACTGTTTAGTCTTTCTGTGAAACCCTTTGTTTGTTATATTCGCCACAGGACTTTTCAGTCATTGGACAAAATGCGCAAGGAATGGTGAGCAGATCTCGGCCCTCATGCAACATTTCGTGCCGCCGCCTCTGCTTTTTGCCCATGAGCTGACACGCAATGTGTGAGTGTTCTTTCTGAAGCATTTTTTGCGTTCTGAAGGTACAGTCTTTTTACTTTACAGTCATAGTTTGTAAGGGTAAGCCTTCTTATGCTTTTGGTGACTTAGTGTCACTATATTTTTGTTTCCATATGGTTGGCTAAACAGTATACGTCATAGTGCTTGTTGAAAATCTTATGGAATAGCGAAAAACAAAGTTGAAGTATACGTAATCGCTGCGAAAAAGAATTGCGTGTGCTTGCAGGGATGGAGAAGTGCTTCGGTAGCAGTTTCAATTGCTTTTTAAATTTTCAGTGTCAGATGTTTCGGCCTTTCTAAGTGTTTTATAATTTATAATTATTGCTTTAATGTCAACCTAAATATATTCACTGCAAATTATATTTATTTGCAACATTATTGTATGTTCGCTCATGAAAAATTTGAAAGTTACAAATTCAAATAACCACATGTAATTATAAATACATCAAAAAGCGATTGGTCATACTATTGCATTTATGAGGTTATTAAAATACCGCAAAGCATGCACGGCGACAGTAGAGTGATCGTGATATATTACTGACTGAGTGCATATTGTGTGCTTCTTATCTCGGCTTGTAGTAATAGTAAATGAGAGATTATAGTCCGAAATGGCAATCAAATATAATTTGTGTTGTGTTGTGTTGTTTAAATTGTAAATTGTGTGTAAATTCAAAGATTCAAATGCATGCTGATACATGTTTACATAATGGTACATTTCATTCTTTACAGTGTTGAATGTACATTGTTGCCCAGAAGTTGTAATTCTTAAACAATGTGATAAATTTTGAGCAAATAAGTTTCTCTAAACTAGTCATACCGGGTTTTAGTTGATAGTGACAAGGAATAGTAGCTCATGCTTCTTACCGCCAAGAAATTGTAATCCATGACAAATGTTGAGCAACATTTTTACTGTTAAGAACCAGCTTTCGATAAACTAATCTGACAAACAAAGGGTTGTGCTTGATACAAACTTGGAAAGCAAGTTTGGCCAAAGTTAGACTTGTCAAGGATTAGAAATGTTCAAGTATGGTACCAACAAAAGTTCATTAAGCATGTGCATAACATTTCATATTTAACAACAAATTTTAACTCGTAACCACTTACGACATATACTTTGTTATTTCTAGATTGCGACTGTTTTGAAGGACGTTTTAACTATCCCTCACTCGTCTGAAATATACAAGTATTCAATAAGTGTATTTGGATATTAAAAGCAAAATTAAAAGTTTGTCACAAATGCCCTTCTTTCATTTCAAACAGTAAACATAAATTGTTCACATATACCCTTAAAACCACAAAACTGTTTTGCGTTTTAAACACACGTTAAACAGTTCCGGGGAACTGCAGAGTCTGGTTCAACAATGGAAATTCACGCAAAAAAAGAAATTGGTGCAATGTACAAGACAGTAGTTTAGGAGCATGAAATGCAATAATACTAACTTTTACTTTAATGACATAGTCATGTGTTGAACAGAAGTCTTATCTTCGACTTCTGTATACAGTACAATGACTATGATTTTTTCGTACGTCACTGCTGCCACTTCAATACTGTTGAATAACATAACAATGTTTATATCGTTTAGTTTGCAGCGTATATTGATTTATATGAGCAATATTTGACATTCTGAATGTGTGCGATCAGTGAAAAATTGACCCACAAACACGTTAGGCAAGGTAACCGACAATTTCTGAATTTAATGTTTGTTGCCACAAGCTAGGTCTATTTCATCACTATTCCATTTTTCCACCAAGACACGAATAAAATAGTCGTCTTATGAATTTGAAAGAAAGTGGCTATACTAGAAACAATTTAAGAGTATGATCTCAGACTAATCTCATCCAATATATTAATTGTGTCATATCAGAAATCCACACATGCGATTCGGTGACAGTTGTTTAAAGCTTGCAAATGCCCCCTGTTCAACGTAATATAAAAAAAATAATATATACATTCTAGGTGTCATTACCCAGCCTTCATAAAATGCTGCATAACTGAGATTTACACATTAGATTAGCAGTCATTTTGCATTTATAATGTTTGTGGATTTTAACTATATTTTGTCTATACTCAAACAATCCATTATTTACAGAAAGCTTGTAGTTACATTTGAAATATTTGTGAGAATAATAACAGTAATTAATCAGCTAAACAAATAGAATTGATTTACTTTGCAATTTAATGCATTTAAAATAACAAGTTCACTTTTTTAAAGGCTGCTTCTACTCTTCGTATGTATTGATATAATACTTCATAGACCATATGTAGTAGAACATTTTTGCTTACAATTGGTACCGGACTAAGACTTTTATTAAAATTACATCATATTACTCTTATATTCCAATGTAAAATTGTATAAACACTAGCAACCTAGATTGTGTGTGGCGAGATCGCGTCTGTGATGCATCTCTTCCATGAATGTCATTACATTAAATGCCTATTGAAACTATTTGGGGTAGGCATAAATGCTCTGACGAACAATGACATTCTACTCAAACACGAAGAATTGGTATTGCTGTTTTTTATGTGAAAAGGTTATATTTGCTTGCAGAAGCAACAAAAAATGAAAACCCATTTTTTTGCTTTTCACAATTCGTTCAGGTATTTATTTAGTATTATATTATAATGTATACAAAAATTGAGCACTTATATCGAGAAATCAGTAAGCCGCGCGATATTGCAGCTTTACTGTCTTCGTGCATACTATGAGGTATCCTCGTAATAACCTCATATTATATCATCCATGGCGGTTTAACTATGGGCATGTGTACTGATGTGTGTGTTGGGGAGGTGCACACATATTAGCTTCCAGACACCGTCTGTTATAAAAGTTACAGAAGCTAAGTTTTTTAGGTACATGTCGGTGTACATGCATATAGAAGTTGCGTTACCCGGGTGCCTGTCATGTATATATGCCTAGACGTTTACAGACTAATTTCTTGAGTATACTCTGCACATGCGCAAGAAAGACGCATTGGGTTGTCTTGTGAACTGTTGCCGAGTACAAAAAGTCTATTGCGTATCTATTGCGCACAAGATTATTTGTCTGCTATTTGAGATGCACAACGTGAAAACTATGTGATCCACATTATTGAACTTTATAATACTTACAGAAATAGATTTTACGTCTAGGTTATTCAGTCTAATTTATTCCAGAGCACCTCTACCAGAAGCTCAATTTAAATCTGATTTTATGAGATATCAGAAATTGGCTAAATATAATTCGATAATAATTATGCATATTTGTCAACATTTCAAATGTGATGATAATGCAAATTAGGGCAATACAGAAGCTACTACAGTTTATTTACAGATTAATTGAAACACTAATACAGTCCTGACAAATGATTGACTTGTATACATTCAATTCGGGCGGGAAGAGTATCAACAACTTTATAATTGGTCAATTAAAATGAGTTATGATTGGCTACTTTTTACACCCGGTCATATTTGATTAGTTACATAATTGACACACACAAACACACACAAGGTGCAAGGTCAGCATTTGGTTTGAAATGAATTGATGGATACTGCACACATCGTCAAACATGGTAATACCTTGCAGTAAGTGGTTAATATGTTTAACCCTTGTCCTGCCAGGCCATGTACATTTACACTGACTTGACCAGATAAGAATTATGCTAAATAAGATGTATGAACGTTTTGCATCAGTTGAATATATATTTATGCAAATTCACGCCACTAAGTTTACATAAAGATTTGGATGTAATTTCAACAAGCCATGCATGGCACAGTCCCAGTTAGTTATCAAATCTTATCAAATCAGATATGGCACTAGAACCACATTTATTAAAACAAAATCACCACCAATTGGCCATTTTGAATCGGAACGTCGAACCAATATATCTGTATATCTATGATATAATGTATAATGAGTATAATGTGTCGGCCATTTTGAATCTTATCTGAAAAACAAGATGACGTGCATCAAGGTCATATAATGTCCAACGTATGTACTAAGTTCAAACAAGATCTATCTGTAAACAGTTGAGAAATGCTTGATTTTAATGATTTCTCAGCACAAAAATTGATGCCATTCGGCCATCTTGAATCAGACTGTGCAACAAATTGATATACATATGTATATAACTAGGTATGATGTATATATGAAGATTGAATGTAATTGGTCTAAGCATGTCCAAGATGCAGGTCCAGATGCAGACACGGACACACAGTTGCACAGAGGTCAATCCATAAGTCACTGTTTTCGGACTGCATCTGAACATGGACTATAAATATCTAAAAACATATATTTAAACTAAATAACCTAATTGATTAGTATTAATATTTAATACTGAGATGGGAAATTCAACAGCACTGTTCAAAAATGGTTGCATATGTTAGTGGCTCTATATATAGCTCTTTGCAAATATGGTCTGAGTGGCTTGATACCATCGACAATTAACAAACCCACATAATGGTGAATGTTGAAAAAAAGCAACAACTTGCATATGAATACTGGGGTAATTATTTGTATATCATAATGAAAGTTAATAAAGTTACATGTATATTAATTAAAAGCATGTCCTTGCACTGTTACTTATATATTTATATGGTTAATTTATACATCAAGCTTGGTTACCAGTACAAACACCTTTAGCCCATCTATGGGTAATTTACATAGCAAATTACTGAGTACCAGTAACAGTGTATGATCCTGAACAACAGTAAAGCAAAAGACAATCTGATTAAAATCTGATGTAGTGTACAAGCTTTAAGTATTTTGGCTAAAAACTTATTTTAATTTTATTTTTTATTATATTTGTTATTAATGCTTTTTTATATTTTATTATTTTACTTTGATTTTGATTGTGTGATTTATTTTAATTCCGCCCTACCTACATCTGATCCGACGCCTATGTAAGTCCCGTTCAAATCTCGCTTAAGTAACAACCAATCACAGCCCCTTTTTATACAGGCTGTCGGTTGCTTACTTTTCAGTGTATACGGGCAATCTTTCTGTACATTATATTTTGCCCACTTGAATTAATAGAAAATTGCTAGTATATTTTTATTTACAAAAGAAATTCCACAGAATTTTACAATTTTTGTCATTACATAGAATACATCTTCGCCAGCCTAGGTTTGTTCATTCAGTCATTGCTTCAATTTTACATCACTGAGCATAAGTATCTAGAATGGAAGCAAAAAAATAAGTAAATCGTAATGATTAGAACACTGTAAACAGCTACAGTAAACAGTGCAAACTGATTTTAAATTGTATAACGGTCACCGGCGCAAGGCATCGACGCAGAAAATTGGAGCAAAAAAATATTTCCTGATCAATTGCGATGTGTTCCAAATAAAAATTATTTTATTCCAGTCCAAATCAGCTCAATTACTTTAATAAAGAGTTATTGTATAATGTACAAAATGTTGATACATTTTGATGAATATTTACAGCTACGGCTTCAATACCGTTGACGATTTTGGCCTGATCATCAACAAAATATCACAGTCTCCAGGGCAAGCGACTGGAAAAAGACACTGGTGTTCGGTCGAACCGGTGAAAACAAAATCGTCACTCCCAGAATAACTACGCAAATTAACGATCTAAACTCGAACCATTCGAGCCACAATATTAACACAAAAATGACTTTCGTTGCATTTGCAAATGATAAACTTACCGAAAAGCTGTGTTATTCTCGGTTGCTAACGTCGGTTACTTTAATTGAGTGTGTTTGCCACATGACTCTGTCCAGTGACGTCATCATGTGCACTATAGAAGGAGGTCTGTGATTCGTTGACTAAAATCGTCGATAGTGGGTCTCGTTGAAATCTCGTTACATAGGCATCGGGTCAGATGTATGTAGGGCGGAATTAAAAAAAACACGAAATCAAAATGAAAGTAAAATAATAATAAAATAAAAATGCATTAATAACAAAAGTAATAACAAATAAAATCAAAATAAGTTTATAGCCAAAATAATTAAAGCCCGTACACTACATCAGATTTTAATCAGATTGAGCAAAAGATAGAACACAGTCATTCCAGCACTCTATGATAAACACTACTAAAATCTATATATATTAAAAGCTGACAAATCAGTATTTTCAGTAAATAGTTATCTGTATAGTATTATCACTGATGGGTACAAAGACCAACGAACAATCACTATAGAAAAGTATACACTCAGATATGATATGATAAAATAAATATTTTTTAAATACAAAAATTATCACTGATAAAAAACTTAGTATATGGTAATTAAAATCACAGTAAAAAGTTCACATGTTAAGATTTTAATGTTTGATTATTTAGTGGGTCATAAAACAACTTTTACATAATACCATGGATATAAATATTCATACTACTAACTATAATTTATGCATACATTATTATGTACATAACAATATGATGTACACTATGATTACATTGCTAATAATTTAATTTCAGGTGAGATTAGAATATAATCGAGTAACTTATTATTTTATTCTCTGGAACATGAAAAAACAAAGTGTCAGCACTCTTGAATATGTATCAACAAAGTTTACATTATACTGAAGCACAAATCATCTTTTGTATTACTTCCCAATATGTCTTTGTATTATTGTGGTGTTATAGTTATTTGTTCATCATCTGGCCTATCTTCTTCAACTTGCATCTTTGCAAACTGTAAGAATACCTGCAAGCATGTTGTAAATATTAATAGGTAAATTGAATTACTGACATACTGATGAACAATGTTACATAGTATGAGGTTATGAGGATACCAAAAAGTATGCACGAAGACAGTACAACAGGAGTATCGACAGATGTGCAGCGGCGCACTGTTTGAATGCATACTTTGAGGTATCCTCATAATAACCTTATTGTTATACATCTTTTCCTTCCATGGATACATCATGGGAATGCCAAAATCCAAAAAGTTTAGAACAGATTTTGTGAACTTTTTTGTGTGGAGTCCGGTCAAATCCAGGGGGCTACCATGTTTGTTTTTATTATTAAAGGACCCTCACACACACATATTTGGAATTTGTGTTGCCTAATATGGTAGGATGAAAATGCTCAGTGCAATACTGCAAAATTATGGCATGCTGTAACTTATGGTGTTATGGCGATAGATGCATAATAATGTATCATTATCATGTGCAGTGCTAATGGAGCATGATGCAACATAATGTACAAAATATATGTTACATCAAGTATTAAATGTAGCATGATACAAAATTTACAAATATGTTGCATAACCTTAATGGAGCATGCTACACTCACATACGTGTAATGTACAAATGTTGTAATATGATAATGGTACATAGTGTAAAAATAATTATGTCACATTATGCCAAACGAGCATGATACTTAAATGTATGTTGCAATATGTTACTGAAAGATGCTAAAAAATGTATACATTTGTAAACATGTTGCATTGTAGTAAAATATGTGCTAATGGTAAAATATCTTGTATTAAGCACAATTTACAAAAATATTGCATTCACATAATCAAGTACACTACATCTACATAAGACACGATTGTTGTACTATGCTTACGCTACATGTTATTTTTTGTTTTACAAACAGGTGCATCAACTCTATCCTGACCCCACATATTTACCTGTTCTAATGTTGACTGACTGAAGCTGTACTCTTCTATATCTAGCTCTGGTTTACCTTGGTATCAAAAAATAAATAAAATATTAAACTTAAATGTGCACATGAATTATTCGAGGAGAAGAAAAACACTGCAAATTCAGAGTTTGGAAATAGAAATTAATAAGGTATATATAATTCTCAAATTAACAAATCAGATTTTTACAAATCTTCTTCACAGGAATTCAAAAAAAAACACAACAGATATAATACCTTCTTCTAAAGTGTCAAAGACAATTGCCAGGGATTTCACACCATCACGTGGTATCTTATACATAATTCGTTCACCGAAATTCTCTATCATATTGGCAGAAGGGAATGCATCCATCACAAAGGTTTCCAGCTTTTGTATTTTCTCTGCAAGTGTTGAAACATCCTCTTCATCATCAGAAGATTTCAGTTTGACTTCCAGAATGTAACCTCCACCATACTTGTCCTTCAAATGTTGAGTTGAACCCAGACATCTGGAAAATAAATGTTAAATAAAATATCAATTAATGATAATACATGAATCAATGTAAAGCGGCAATTCAGGATGGAGACAAAGGCATTAACAGCAGCGTAAATAAGCAAATCTGATTGAAGCAGGC